TGCTCTTTTAGAGGATCCTATTGAAGGGGCGCTTATTGGTGGGTTTTTGAAATTTAAAGGAGAATTTCTTCTACCAAATATAAGCCATCTTCCAATTAAAAATTTATGTATCATTAAAGAGATAGATTTTGTATCAGGGATCGCGCCGACCCGATTCACGATTCACGAAAATCGTGAATTCAAAATTTTCGTTAATTCACGTTCCCGATTCACGATATTTTTTTGAAAATCGGGAAAAAACCGGGAATTTTATTACGCCGCAGGCAAAAATTTGAAGAATTTTTGAAGTCCAAATCACCATATTTCCTCCCTTTTAGATCCCATAATTAATAAAAATTCCCGATTTTGATTGAAAAAATGAAGTAATCTGGTGACTTTATTCACCCGCTACCTAATTTTATGTTTAATATGAAAAATCTAAAAAGTCTTTATAGAATTTAAATCTTGAAATATGAATATTAGTAGTAATAATTCTTTGCGTTGATTATTTATTTTTGTAAGCTAAACAACGCTTTAGCTATTTAATCTTAAATGTCCATACTACTATATGTCCACTAATAAATTATTGATTGATGATAGACTACACGATTATAGGAGAGAAAATATCGGGTGAGGGGTGTTAGAGGAATTTTTCCCTGGCCGGCCGGAGGGGGCTGGCCTGAGCGGTCGGTCAATTGGTCATGCGACAAAATGCCACATGACAAAACGTACTGGGACAAAATGTCAACTGCCAAGTTGCCAATTTTTAAAAATACTTTTAAAATAAAAGCCGCTCGGCAGTGATCGAACTGGCGACCTTCTCTGTATAGGCGGATGCTCTACCAACTAAGCTATTAAGAAGCTAAATCAATTTTACTATTAATGCATCATGAACCTATTGGAAAGCTTTTTTCCTATTGAACTGTTGAATACTTTAAATGTCCTTTGTTCAAATTTCCAAATCTACCAAAAACTCAAAATTTTTGATTGATTGTTAAAAAAAGCAATGATTTAAAAAACTAACTTTTTCAAAAAAATCTGATTTTTCGTCACTTTATAGATCATAACTTTTTTTACCAGTAGCCTATTTAATGCTCTATCCAATGGTACCTAGAGCAAAAAAATAGTGACCTTTCCTTCGTAAGTTATAGGGTCCGGGACTCAGTTGAGTTGGTACTCAATTGAGGTGTACAGTAAGAAAAAGATTAAAAATACCTAAATTTCAAAGTGCCAATTTTAAAATGGAAAATTTTCAAATAATGTATTTGGCATAGTGTTAAACATTTGGTGTTATGTATATTATACTTTTTATTTTGTTCGCCATTGTTACTAAGAACAAAAATGTTTGGCTATATTTTTCTTTCTGCAGGGGCATACTCTCTTTAACAACTAGGTGTTTTTAAGTAAATCGATAGAAATTTTTTATCCAATTCTTTTGCTTTCAGATATTTTACAGTTAGATTTATTTTGCCCGTTTTATTTTAATTTTTTCTTGCATTAACTATTGTTTGCAACTTTTAATTTTTTAGCAGATTCTCCAAGTTCCCCGTCACCAAATTTGGAGTGACGGGGAACTTGCTGCCTTAATACTTGTGGTGGTTATTCCATAAAGTTGCCTACAAGGCAAAACAACGTTCGGATTTACTAGATGGTTTGATGAAGTCTTAGATGCACTGGCCGTTTAATGACCGGCGAATGGGATCCGAGGTCGGAATTTTTTGATAAATAAATATAAATTATTTTTTTTAATTTTTAGCATTCGAATTGAGCCTCCTAGTACAATTCCTAATCAACAGAGCCGTATTCAAGTTAGTGCATTTTAGAATACTTATATATATATATTAAAATTTAAAATTATTAGCAAAAGCCCTCAGCTGGAAGTGACAAATTTTCCTCAATTAATTGGCAGGAACTAGTACTGAGGATTCCACAACTGGATTACCTTGTGGAATTGGAGGTTCTAAACTTGCTGGGAAAAAGGTTTAAAAAAAATAATTTTTAATGTTATTAATTGTAACTGATTTAGAAGAAGAGGACGGTCACGGTCAAGATCCGGGTTTACGCAGAACTGGGAAATTGTTTGGGGGTTTAATGTTAGATATTCGGTGTGTTAATTTAAAAATAAATTTTAATTTTTGAAGTCGGAAAGCCCCACATTATTTATCCGATTTTACTGATGCGTCAAACCTTCAATGTATAGCAACTACTTGTTTTATGTATTTTGCACTGTTGGCCCCAATTGTAACTTTTGGTGGTCTTCTTGAAGAAGCTACTCATCAAAGAATGGTTATTTAATTAAAGGAATATTTTTAATTCTTTTAAAGGCAGTAATGCAGAACTTAGCTAGCGGTGCGATCTGTGGCATCATATATCACTTGTTCAGTGGCCAGCCTCTAACTATAATTGGCTCTACAGGTCCTGTACTTGTTTTTGAAACAACTGCCTTTGATATTTGCAATGTAATAAAAATAATTATATTTATTAAATTGAACTATACTAACTGCATAGTAATTAGTATAATTTCCTATGATATTCAGACAATGTCTGTTAAGTATTTTGATCTACTCGGACAGCTTTACCAGTTCAGAATCTTTATTTCAAAAAATATTTTTAATTTTACATCGAATATTCTATAAATGTTAACACTCCCAACTTTTACCTTTTAAGATTGCCAGATATGGGACATGGAAAATGTGAATGTACTCCTAACATGAATGGAATGAATAGTGATGACTGCGAAGACTTTCACAACGATTCACCATGGAGACCAGGCATTGAAGATCAATCAAATGAATGTAAAAGATGCGAATGTAATGATCATGCTACTCGGTAATTAATTTTTTAAAAATAATGTGTAACAAATATTTTTTAGTTGCCATTTTGATTGAGTAGTTTATAATGCTTCTGGGTTTTCTTCTGGAGGTGTTTGTGATGATTGTCAACATAACACAATGGGGAAAAACTGCGAGAAATGCAAACCTAATTTCTATCGAGATCCTCAAAGGTAAAAATTTTTAAAAAATTGGCAAAGTTGTATTTGATATTTAGGCGATTTAAGGATATACTATGGACATACTACTATATTACCATTATTAAATTATCGATTGATTAGAACAAGAGGGCTCTGAAGAGACTGGCTATCGGGTGAGAGAAGTCAGAGAAAAAACTTTTTCTCTCACCAAATAGCCAGTCCCTTCAGGCCCTCTTGTTCTAATCAATCGATAATTTGCAAACCCAATCCTTTTGGGGCTTGCGGGGTTTTAATGGAGTAGGGTGGAGGCTAGGCTAAATTCTATCGTAACGCGATTCTGGGCATTAAAGGGTATCAAACAAAGCCTGAAGCGGGGGCCGAGTCGAGTGGGGCCGACGGCTAATAAATCGATAATTTATTTATAAAAACCTTTGGCTCTCAACCTGACCGCACTCAATAGGTAACAGCTATTTTAATGGATTTCTAGAGCCGATTCATTGCATTGTTTTTTTCTAATTCGCTAGGCGACCCGCTCAATTGGGAGCGAAAAGTGTGTTTTAGTTCGACACAAGCTCTCTAAAGGTATCTCGCTAATATTTTTTGCAATGTTGGATTCTTCAGTAGAAGTTATGAAATCTAATTTACGCAGAACTCGAAGAAGTAAAATCCAACATATTAATATCATAGGAAGAATAATGGAATGAAGTAGTAGTAATAAAGGTATCCCATAAGCTACAGTGGGATCCAAAGCATTATCCTGTAAATTTGTGCCAGCAATTTTTAAAAATTCAAATGTTATATTTTGGGTAGTGGTGGAAATATTTTGCATTTGTAAAATCAATATATTTTAATTTATCATTATTTATACAACTTTTCAACCTAGATTGGAATCTGTAACTATATGTCTATTGTAATCAATCATAATCATTTGATCAAATTCGCCTAGAATAATCATTTCAACACCTCCAGCAGGAATGGGAGTATTAAATTCTAAACGAACACTAGTAGTTCCACTTTTGAGAAGCTCAAAACCACAAGAGTCATCAAGTGTCGATGTCAAAGGTATCACAAAAAAGGTCCACCCATCTTTAAATCGTGACAATGAAATATCAATGGAGCGATCTGAATTAGCCATTCCAAGAGCTTCATACATGTCCACGAAAGCTCTAACAAATAAATCTTGGGTAAACTTTAACTTGTAAGCGACCATAGGATAAATATGCCCCCCAGTATGAACAGAGATATCCCTAATATCAAAAGGTTTGAAATTGAATGGGGAAAGCGCAATATCGCCATTAAAGGCCTTATTAGAAACTAAGGCGACTGTAATGCGTCGAGGTATAGCTGAGCTAAAGGCATTATACTCAATTTCAGTTCGCCCTGAAGTAAGATAAGTAGATTTCATTTCAGTTCGGCGAACAGCATACGTAGCAGGTTTAGATTCAAGAGTCTTATAAATGTTCATGTTAAGTGATGGTTGCACTTCAACCATTTTCGAAAATAATTTAACATCGTGAACATAAAGTCTATATTGGTTATTATCGCCTTCTTTGATATTTTGTAATATAAAAGCATCCTTACTTTTGTAAATGCTAAAGTGAATATCTAAATTATTAAGGAGAAATAATTCTTGATTTCCCAAATCAAAATCAAGGCGCGAAAGGAATTGTGAGCGTTTACCATTTGCAAAAATAGAACAACGATTTTTGAAACCATCATCTGTAGGATCATCGTGCTTTTCGGTTCTATAATATCCAATAGATGCAAGAAAATGCGATTTAACGTTGTCAGGAAATGATAACTCATTAGTAATATATGCTTTGTAAGGATAAAGAGTACCACTATCATAAACTTCAGTATTGCCAACAGTTACCTTCAACTGCTGAACAAATGTTTGTCCAACACCTTGAATCGATCCAATATTATTATCTGTTGCTTCAATATCAACCCATTTGCCATTGGCTCCCAACTTTTCAATTGATAACTCGAGGTAAAGATAAGTTCGAGACAAGTCAGTCCAAAGATTATCACTGAACAATCGAAACAAATACGGAGAATCTTGTGTTATTGTACTAAGAGGAAGAATTTCTCTAAAAAAGGACCGGACAACAGAAACGTTTGTAGGAGGTACAGAAAAAATACTTAATGCACTATTTAGTGCTAACGGGCTATTTTCATTAATTTGTTTTGGGCAGCTCATTTTAGTATGTTCCTAACGTGTCTACTCGTAATCGTTTTTGGGGACGGGATTTTTTGGTAGATTTTTTAGAATATTTCTTTTTGAAATTGGGAATAAAATTAGGAGGACCGATTCGAGAATATGGATGTTTATTTATAGTTTTTGGTTTAAGATCCGGTATTGCGTCATTCATTTGCCCGATGGCAGGGGACTTTTCTATATTTTTGTATCGTTTAAAATCAAAACCTTTTCCACTTTGTTTATCAACATTTTCAGCTGCTTTTTGCAGTAAGTTTTTCAAGCCTGATTTACCTTCAGTAACAAGAGATTCTTTAAGATTTTTTCCCTCTAAGACATTGCTTAAAACTCGATTACCGGATTCTAAACCCTGTCTTCCAATAGCGCTACCAATTTCTTTACCAATCGGGATTAAATAACGAAGAAAACTTCTAAAAACTGACCCCAATCCATTACCTCGTTGGTAAGGAACGCCACGGAAAACATTATAACCGCCCCATTGATTGGGTTGTTCAGTTAATGTTGACCAGTTAATATTTGCAGGATCAAAATCAATGTGCATTTTGTATGTTATGAGTATATTATTAAAGTCATCTATTTATATTAAATATTTGATTAGTAATAAACTCAGATACAAATTTATCGGCATTAGTTCTTTTTAGTAATGAAATTATTTTATTCATTGAAAAACCTAAGCAGCGCATATAAAGAAATAAAATAACATGATTCCCGCACGTACTAGAAAAAGGTCGTTGTAACATAACAGAATTAATTTGAACTTTGTTAAACTTATTTAAATAATTTCTAATGTGATGACTTATCGGTGGCCAAATACCTAAAGAGTCATAGTATTCAATACTACTAGGTGAATTGCAAAATAATGCTATCCAGTGTGTTCCAGATAAATTGCTCGGATCTGTATTAACTACAACACAGAACGGAAAAAAGTTACTCCTATAAGGAATACAGTCTGAAGCAAAGCATCCTACATAAAATCCCTTTGTAACAATATTTCTTTTTAATATTTTATCAATTTGAAGTGTATTCATTGTTAAAAGTATGTAGCCTTTTTAAAATGTAATGTTAATGTACATGTTCCATATTGGAATGGCATTAATGTCCCACTAGAAGTTCTAATTTCAATAAAAATTTCAGAAATTTCTTTTACAAGTAGCTTATGGTATTGAACACATAAAAATTGTTCTTCAATTATTTCATCTTGTTTACCTCTAATTGTCACAATTCTAAGCACTGGTGCTGTAACATCGCCTATGACCATTGGTTCAATTAATCCAGGTGCATAAACGTGGAAGCAGGATACACCTCCTCGCATATCAGGCATAAAATTTGCAATACAAGTTTCAGTTAAAATTTGCCTATCAAACCCTAAGATATATGCAAGCTGCTCAGTTAATTCAATTTTTTCTACATATTCACTATCGATGTGCAAGGAAAACCTATTTTTATAACTATGGAATTCAAAATTGCATGCTAATCTAGGTTTACGAAATACTCTTATCCAGGGGTCAAATCCAACTTCGTTAGTTACCGAAATAATTTGTTTGAAATCATCAGGCATTTTTAAATTCTCGATATTCATCAAATCATTAAAAATTTCATCTTCACTTTTTAAGCTAGGAACTTCAGTTTCTTCACTAATACTTACGTGTTCTGCTGTAGTCACGTTAGATACTGGCTCTGTCCTTTTCTGAGAGAGTTCTTTTAAACGTTTATACTTATCTTTAGCCTGCGTGCGAAGTTCTTTTAATTTATTTGTATATTCAATGTGAACGTTACGAAATTTGTCAACAAGTGCTTCACTTCCTTTGTTTAAGGATTTATCTAAATTATCTTTTAAATGTTGGGGATTAGTTAAAGTATTGGAAGGAACAGAAAATTGAACCACATCCCCACTTTTCCAATAAACAGTTACAGTTTGTTCATTATTAGTACCTAACGACGGCCAGGAGTGTGGATAAACCATAACGGCTAGGCCGACATGCCACTCAGAATTAAATTGCAACTTATGAGGTAACCTAACTCGGAAGGAATTTGTTCTATTTCCTTCTATGTTTGTGTTAGACGGAATAATAATATAAAATGAAGTCATTTTTTTACAAATTAAAAAGCTTAAATTTTAATTTATGTATAATTATCTCCAAGTTATAGAATTAGCGGGTATCCAACTGTTATGTTCTGGACCATAACCCTTCCAACTGACAAAAACATAATCTTCCCCATCGCGTTTCCTTTTTTTTCAAAACTTTATTAATGTCATATAAATTCTCATCCTTTTTAGAATTCTCTTTTACTAAAATTAAATCATTAGAATAAAACCACCCCCTAATCTGTTCTCCATTAGAGTCTTTAATTTTGTATGTAGGAGGTTGATAGGGAACTAAGCGAACTTTATCAATAATAAAAATTTCATTTGTGAAATTTGGCAAATAGCCCTTTTGAAATATATGCTTATATTTTTCGATTCGCACTCTATCTCCTACTGAAAACTTTTTCCTTCTCCATTGAGAAGAAGAGGCGTGTGTCCCAATTGCTCTATTCTTTAGTAATTGCCTTAATTTTTCTGCATTTTTAAAATTGACATCAGTTGGGCGCATACCTATACTGGAGTTAAATGAGTTATTTATTGAGCTAACAATTTTTTGGATAACATCCACCCATTTTAAAGTTTTATTTTCTGTGAAGTACCTATATAATCTTTCCTTAATGCTCCTGTTCGCTCTTTCTGCCATCCCCGCATGCCACAGAGGTGAAGTAAGCATAGAGAAATGTTCCATATCCAAGGACTTGAAGTATTTTTGTACTTGTTTAGCAGTAAATTCAAGTCCTTGATCAGTTAATAATTTCCATGGAATGACTTTAGTACGAGAAAATAATTTTTTAAATGCATCTATCATATTATCACTATGTTTACTCTTTACAGGTTCGACAAATATTTGACGACTGAGTGTATCTATACACACTAATAAATATTTATATCCTTGATTTTGTTTACATATACGATTAAAAACACTCAAATCTGCTTGCCATTCTGTATGAAGTCCGGGAGCTAAGGTTGGCATTCTTTTATATTTTCTAACAACTCTTCTATGAAGAGTATTGACACTTTGACTTGATAGATAGTCCTTGACATCTTGTCGTGAAATATTTTTATCAAGTTTCCTAGCTGATAGCAAAAGCGGTTCAAGAGAGGTAAAACATGTTGAGGAATTAACATTTTTATATAATTTATCAAGTATTTTTATCTTTTTAGTAGTTAACGCTACTGCCATAAGGACGGTTTATAAGAAAATACTTGTTTGAAACAACCACCTTCACCTTCTTGTTTATTAATAGTTTTCGACGGAAAAAGCAAATTTTGTAAAACTGTATGTTTGTTTATTCTACGAAGAAATTCGTCGTAACCAGTTGGAATTGGTCTTTTACGCTTATTCTTATTTTTAAGTATATGATTTATAAGATCTTCTATATTACTTGTAATGAATGAATCTTTGCTACCTATTTTTCTCGCTAATTTTCCATTTGGCAAAACACCTAATTCACCGGCATGTTGTCTTATATATTTCAATGCTTGTTCTTTTGGACTAGGCTCATTATCGGTATCTGCCGATAAAAATTCATCTTCCTCTTCATCACTTTTATCTTTTACCTCACTTTCATCAGCTTCAACTTTAATATCTTGAACAGGATATTGTCTCCTTATACCAACTTTACCTAATGATTTTTTATGTAGTTTCTTTTTTATTATAACTTTACGGGGTGGTTTTTTAATAGGATCAGCAATTGCTGCTAATTGAGGTTTGTGGTCAATATTTTTTGAAACCACATCCGCTATTTCTTCAAAATTTTTCAATTTAACATCAATAGGTTTTTCCTCCTTCTCTTTTAAAAGTTTATTATACCTTTTAAAATCTTGTTCATAACGAATTGCCCTTGTTGTAGGATCTAATATTTCTTTATTGGCACTAGTATTTTGCAAACGTTCCTTTATCAAACCTATAGCAGTCCCATCTCCGCTTGAAAGTAATTCTTGATTTTCATCGAAACCCCCAATTATATTTTTATAAATGTCTTCGGGGATTAGAAACATTCTATTTGCATTCTTCATAACTGTATTATTTCATCAATAATTTTTTATTTATATTATTTTAAAATTTTATCAGTAATTATTGGGATAATAAGGCTAGCAAGAAGCCCAGCAACCGGAGGGATTCCATTTCCTTTTTGCAATAAAATTCTCGTAGATGGGGCACTTCTGGATCTACTTATTTTACGCAACAAATTTGCATGTTTTTGCAAAGTTGTAATTCTATTTTTATGAAAAGGTAAGCGTCCTTTTAATAAATTAAAACAAATTTCCACAAAACATAACAATTGTTCATCTGAAGCCTTATTTAATAAATTCTTTAATACATTATTCGACTTCGAACAATTAAAAATCGAACGCAAAAAATTTGAATTTCGCTGTATTAGATCGCTAGTATAAAATTTTTTCCTCATTTTGGAATATAAACTATTGTTTTACTCTCATCATCACGATATATATGTGTTCTAAGTCTTAACAACTCAGGTGTGCTGGGATGTATATCAACTAAAAGATATCCAAAATTGTCTTTAGTAGCATCCGAATACGCCTCTAAGAAATATTTTGAGCGTGAAGGAAACAAATGGGAAGCAAGCGTTCTTATCTGCAAGGCTCCAGCAGGATTTCGCATTAACAACAAATAGTGTGAATTATTACGAGCTATTTTTAATTCTTTGCTAAACAAATGCTGTGTTATTAATATAACACTCATTTTCCAATTATGAGATCCTTTCGTAAATATTGTATCTAATAGATTTTGATTCATCCCAACCATTAAGTCATCGAGTACAAGCAACATTTTTCCATTTGATTGAATGGCCTTTGTACGTATAAATTCCTCACCTCCTACTGGCAGACCATTATGAACTATAACTCTTGTCTTACCTTTATTAACAAACCCTATTCTCTGCATACGTATAATATTTTTATTTAACTCCCCATAACAATATAAGACCAAATCAATTTGATATTTTCCCTCATTGTCATCTGGAATCATTTCAGACAAGTTTTCTAGAAATTTTTTAACCCATTCTGATTTACCAGATCCTGTACTCCCCGATACAATCATTGTAAAAGGGTGCTTGAATCGTGAATGTATTAAATCAAATTTTTCAAATCCTGACATTTTAAAATTTTATTTAATTTTTATAAATAAGTATATATAGATTTAGGAATTTTGCAATTAACAAAATGAATGTAATGGAACTTCTTTTCACTCTTATGGTCTGGGGAGTTCTCGAAGACGACCCTGAACCAGAACAGCAACAGAATACATCAAACGAATCTCAGACGGACCAGCCACCATTAATAGTGGTT